CGGCCAAAAAGGTTTGTAATCTCTGACATGTCAAAAAATGATAGCTGTCAGAATTCTACGGAATGAAAAATCAGAGTTTACTGTAATAGATAGTTTCGTTGCACTGCAATAACCCGCTACCCGCTATTGTGTGAATAGATAGTTTCAGTAACTAGTTAAGTTTTGTAACGACCACTCCTAGTACCAAATCATTTTGCACACTGAGCGAGTGCTTACGACACGACGCTGTGGCTATTTGGGATGACTTGATTCCTATCCTGAACTTCATTGAGAAGGAGGTTTCCGAAGTGAAGTTTTTAAATTTTATATCTGATTCCCCATCTGCACAGTACCGTAACCGTAAAATGTTTTACGTTATGGCCAAACTTCATTTGAACTATCCAAATTTACGTCGCGTGGTTTGGAATTACTCCGAAAAAAGGCATGGAAAGGGAGCTCCAGATGCTGTGGGGGGGAGTATTAAAAAGAACTGCTGATCAAATTGTTGCTCAAGGGAATGACATCCCAAATATTGAAGCCTTAATCAGCCATCTTAAAATTAGATACCCGGGTGTATCCATAGAGAAAGTTGTAGAATCAGGCATTTTAGAAAAGGAATTATTATGCAGATGTATGCTATGGGGATATGTCGATATGATAGGGGGTATGATAGGGGGATGAGTCGCTCGCGTCCGTAGGCTTCGACCACCTAACCTTAGGCCCACCCTACACGTGTCCCCCGGGTGGTGCTAAACGAGCGACAAAGCCGATAAAATAGACTCGGCTCCTCGCCGTATGGTAGCGGCGTAAAATCTACCACCAACCCTTGTTCGCACCATGACTCAAGAAATAAAAGAAATGGCCCCGAGTTCCCGGCGCCCTTTAAATGGGGCAGGGGTGCGAAGAATCTCCGGGAGAAAAACCGGCGACGAGGTTCGCCACCCGTCACGTTCTGTCTCCCGGAGGGGCGAAAAGTGGATTGCGGAAACCCGTCTGGCTACGCTGAATGTTTGTGGAGGAATGAATGATAAGATGGATGAAGTATGCGAAATGATGAATGACAGAGGAATAGATGTGATGTGTGAATGAGACGAAACGAAAGGGAAAGGATGCCACTGCACATGGCACGTATACCGCGTATTGGTCTGGTGTAGGCGAGACCGAACGGGCATGCCGGGGAGTCGGTTTCATCCTTTCAGAAAGAATGGGTCAATGTGTGAAAGAGTATGAACGTGTAAGCCCGAGACTGCTATGGATACGAATGAAAGTGGGCTTAAAGAAGCTGTTCCTGCTAGGGGTGTACGCCCCAGACATGTCTAAGCCCACTTACATCCGAGAGCAGTTTTGGGACATGGTAAGGATGGTGTTGACAAAATGTAAGGAAAATGAAAATATTATTATGTTAGGAGACTTTAATGGAAGGGTTGGGGTGAAGAGCACTGGTTATTAAAGGATATTGGGAACGTTTGGTGATGAAAGTATAAATGAGAATGGTGAAGACCTCCTCACCGTATGTGCGGAAAAGAATCTTTTTGTGACGAATACTTTTTTTCGTCATAAGAAGATTCACATGTATACATGGGAAAGAGGTGATGATAGAAGCATGATAGATTTCGTAATTGTGGATGAAAGAATGAGGAGCGCAGTCGTAGATACAAGGGTTTACCGGGGGTCCAACGTAGGGACGGATCATTACTTGGTCTTATGTCGAATTAATGGTCTTTTCAAGCGTTGGCGGCATCGGACATCTGTATCTACCACTGCGTTACAGCGTATAAGAATAGAGAAGTTACAAGATGAAGATGTGATAGAGAAGTATAAATGTAGACTGAGAGAAAATATTAGATGTTTGAATGAGTTGTGTATGAATGATTTAGACTTGAATACTGTGTGGGATAATATTAAGAAAGGTTTGGTGGATACCGCCACCTAAGTATGCGGTGCAAGTAAGAGAACAAATGAAAGGAAAAGTAATACGTTATGGTGGGATGATGAGGTACGGGTGGAAGTTGAATCAAAGAAGAAAGCATGGTTAGATTTACTAGCAACCAAAGCTGATAATTCTTCTGGTATGAATGATGAGATTGAAAGAAAAAAGGCAGAATTTAGACGTCTAAATAAGAGAGTAAAAGAAGTTGTTGAAAGGAAAAAGAAAGAAAGAACGGATAAGAATGATAGAAGGATATCTGATAATTTCCAGGCTAACATAAAAATGTTCTGGAAACTCGTAAGAACTGCCAGGGGAAATACAAAACAGCCTATAATAGATGCTATAAGAGACGAGAATGGATGTATTCTGAATGATGAAGTTTCGAATTTAAACAGATGGAAGGAATACTTTGAAAGCGTGTTTATGAGTGAAGAGTCGTATGAATTAAATGAACTAGAAATTCCGAAAGAAGTGGAAAGGGGTATGGAGATAAGTGTAGATGAAATAATGAAAGCAATGAAAAGCATGAAAGCAGGTAAGGCAGCTGGATATGATAGAGTATCACTCGAGATGCTAAGGGCTGGAGAGGGAGTGGTGGCAGGCCTGCTGTACACCTTGTTTAATTTATGTTGGGAATTAAAACGGGTACCGGATGACTGGTGTAAAGCAGTTATAGTACGAATATATAAAGGAAAAGGGTCACAGCAGGACTGCAAAAACTACCGCGGTATCAGCTTGCTTAGTATTGTGGGTAAACTGTATGCTAAGGTGTTAATTGAAAGAGTTATGAAAGAAACTGATGGAAAAATTTGGGATGTGCAAGCGGGTTTTAGAAAGGGAATGGGGTGTACAGATCAAGTCTTTTCCATGCGCATGATTACGGAGAAGTTTTTGGCCAAAAACCAGAAAGTTTTTTGTGCGTTCATGGACTTGGAAAAGGCTTATGAGAGAGTGGACAGGAATGTGTTATGGCAAACACTGAACTCATATGGGTTGAGCGCTGGTTTGATACAGGCATTAAGGTCTCTTTATAGGGACTCTAGTGCTTGTGTCAGGATCAATGGGGTCTACTCGGACTGGTTTGGCATCCAAAAAGGTGTCAGACAGGGCTGTGTGGCTTCCCCTTGGCTGTTCAACCTATTTATGGACCGGTGTTTGCAAACTTTGAAAGATGAAGAATGTGGGTTAAGAATGGGCGAGTTAACCGTCAAATGCCTTTTGTATGCCGATGATCAAGTCATACTTGCGTCATCGGCGGCAGAGTTGCAAATGATGGTTACATTAATGAACTGGGAATTAAAAGAAAGGGGAATGAAAGTGAACGCAAGTAAGACGAAAGTGATGGTTTTTGAAAGAGAAGAAAGCAAAACGGTATGTGAAATAAGAATAGAAGGAGAGTTGATTGAGCAAGTGGATGAGTGTGTATTTGGGATGTGTATTTAGCAGGGATGGTAGATATGATAGGGATATAGAACGACGAGTAAATGCAGGGAATAGAGTGAATGGGGCACTACACTCTATTATGAAGAACCAGAATTTGTCAAAACAGGCACGTATGGTAATTCATAATGCTGTGTTAGTCCCTACTTTAATGTATGGTAGTGAAAGCTGGGTGTGGCAGAAGAAGCACGAAAGTAGAATAAATGCTGTAGAAATGCGGTCTTTAAGGAATATGCTAGGGTGTAATCTGAATGACAGGGTGAGAAATTGCGTGATAAGAGATAAATGTGGTATGCAAGATGATGTTGTGACCAGGATTAAGAAAGGAATGCTTCGGTGGTTTGGTCACGTAGAAAGAATGAATGAGGAAAGAGTGACTAAGCAAATTTATATGGCAGATGTGAATGGCCGAGTCGGGAAGGGACGACCTAGGAAAAAGTTTATCGACCAAATTGGCGATATTTTGAAAATGGGCCACGTTAGAAGTACCCTTAACCGACGAGCATGTATGCGTAGATATATGGATGTAAAGGAGGCGAAAGAGGTATGTCAGGATCGTGCCAAATGGAAGTCCGTAGTCTCTGCCTACCCCTCTGGGCGACAGACGTGAGTGTTTATGTTATATATATATATATATATATATATATATATATATATGTTATGTTATGTATGCTATGATGATGCCTCTCAAGAACTTCTTAACAAACTGGATCGTCTTCTCAATAATTGTATTCGCTTTATCTTTGGCTTACGTAAATTCGATCACGTCTCTTCATTCCGTTCTCAGCTCAAATGGCTGCCTCTTCCACTTCTTAGATCTTTTAGAATCCTTTCTATGCTATTCTCTATTTTACACGATCCGTTTGTCCCTGCATATCTGAAATGCAAATTTCAGTATCAGGGCGATTCTCACAACCGATGTCTTCGTTCCGCGGAAAATCTAACTCTTCATGTTCCTTTCTGTCGCACGGGCTTCTCTTACAATTCTTTCACTTCAAATGCAGTAAGACTCTGGAACATGTTACCCAGAAATATAAAAGAAGCAAAAACTAAACCTATCTTTAAACGTTTACTCTGGGAATATTACTTAACGAAGCAGTAGTAGTTTCGGATTATAATAAAAAATTTAAAAAACTTCGGAAACTGTTATATTCTCAATATGTATCAGTATGTATAATACAAAAATATCATATTTATTTATTGTGGGTATTTGTGTATATATATAAAATAATCGCTTTTAAATATATAAAATAATAATATTGTATGCATGTAAGAAGTAATGTAAATGTATATGTATGTGTATTGTTTATTATCATTATATTATAATTTTGTATTTTTTCCTTAAACCTTTAATTTTTTTTTAATTATGAGTTTTGCACCCATCACTAGATTCTCTGCACAAACCAAAGGTAGACTGGTAGAGAATGCCTTTAGGCATTAAGTCCGCCGTTTTGTACATTTCTTTTATGTGTGCAAATAAAGCTTAAATAAATAAATAAATAAATTATTGATCCCTTCAGATCTAAAAGAATTTCGTGGTACCATGGCAGTGCACCAAGCTATATGGAGCTGCAATAATCCTGAAGTATTAGCCTGAGGCATCTTAGTTGTGATATGGGAATATGCTCTGAAGAATCAGTGCAATGTTCACATGGACAATACAGCTTTAAGCAACAATACTTATCCATCAAAAACTAGGAAAAATAATGCTATAACTGAGTGCAGTAGAATATCTTTTGGAATTTCCATTTCTAAACCAGACCATGGACTGGATGAAATTTCAGTCGAAGACCGCCCGGACATTAATATACCGTGTGATGACAGCTTCTGGACTGATGTTCCTTCAATGAATGAAAATTTAACATCTACCACCATGACCAAAACCATATTAACAGCCCTCCATTGTGAAGATGATGATTCCAGCTCAGATTACAACATTTTTTAGATTAAGTATTACCCTGATTGATAATCTGAGTGTAGTTGATTTTAAAAACAAAATATTTGTTTTGAGATATTTCTTTTTCAATTGTTAAGAATTATGTTACCGAAAATATAGATCGTTGATTTTTTATAATTTTTGCTAATATTGTTGACTTTAAAAAAGGAATAGTTTTAATTACATTTTTCTATTAATTGATAACTGGTTAAGGTAAAAGTGCCAATTTCTACAACCAAAAGACTGACTAGTACTATATAGAGGTATAGACCTACTGTAAAATTATAATAGAACTTGAATTTCTTATATATCTTGTTTTTAATTTTGATTCCCTTGTCGTGTTTTATTGATTCCCCTGGCCAAAAAAATTTAAAATGCTATATTTTAGGAACCATCCGGCCAAAAGTGATGCCTGTTCGTTAAATGTGTTTATAATTAAGTTAAAATTTATGTTACATTGTTACTTGCATAAAATCTGTTTAAATAAATTTCGCCAAGGGAATCAACTGAATATGCCAAATCTCAGGATTCACCCATTACTTTTAACAAGCAGTATAAACTGTCTTCATATTACTAAAAAAGTAGTTATTTATTTGCAACCCCTAAGGGTTTAAAATTGGGGGAAAAAATTCTGTCCCTTCATTTTTTCACCAAATTTATATGGGACCATCCTTGAAGTATAACTTATTTAAGAACAAAATAATCATTAAAATCGGTTATTTATCTGCTAAGATATCATATGAAATTCCTTAAACAATAGGCCAACATGAAACTTTTTCTCCTATTTTCCACCCTTGGGAGAAATGTGAAATAATTAATTTAACCACCTTATACCATAGTGTTGAAGTTTTCTAATTAAGTTTCATGGTGAACACAATTGAAGGCCTTGGATAGGTCACAGAATATACCCAAAGCATCCTGTGAGTAGTGGTAAGTCTTCCCCTATAAGGTAATTTAGTGGTAGTGTAAGAATATCTACTACCCCATTTCATTCTGGCTTCGGAAGAGGAAACATAAGGAGACTGAACCAGGAAATAGGTAGCAGAATCTTTCTGATAATAGCTTAGTAGAAATAAGAAAAATCTATTGCCTACCCGAATGCTAAGTATGGTAACTATGGCAAGGAGGTTATCTATTTGGGAGGCCTGTGGTAGGTAGTAGTCTTCGTAGACTATAATGATTAATTAATAACATAAGAATGTATAATTTATTTGTACATTATATTAGAGTAAATAAAATATTAAGTATATTTGATATAATTGGCATCCATTTTTTCAAACTTTTCAAACATATCCGCAGGCACTTCAACAGTGGAAAGATCTTCAGCCCCAACTTCTTCCTCCTTCTGTATTAGTATATCTACAACATTCTCACATGCTAGAAGTACAGTAGGATCCTTTTCCCATTTATGGTATTCCCTTAACACATAATAAACTCCATTTTCTCTTAGAATCTCTCGCGATGCTCTCTTACAACAAAGTTTATTTAATGTTTCTAAAATCATTTTTCTTATATCTATGTCTTCTTCTCTTTGTTTCTCTTTCGGTAAATACTGTAATGCAATTGGTAATTTATCCATTTCTTCATCTATATAGTCTTCATTTCCCATTAATGGACCCAGCAAGTATGTTAGTATATCTAAATCTGGGCTTAATAAAAATTCGTGACACTCTATATCAAAAGTTAAGTTTCGTATTGTCCCTATTATTCCACCCCGTCTTATGTTTGATCCTTCGTAATTACAAAATGGCAGTAATTTTATTAGTGGTACATGTGGATTCTCTTTGGTTAACCAACGGCGTATTCTAGGGCTGCAGCTAATGTTACTTATCATGGGTGCTAAATAATCTAAATTTGAGCCTTTTTTTGTTGAAACCCGTGTTGACGAAAACATTCAAGAGGTCATTTAAGAATGGTAAAATTAAGTCTATGCATTTTTCAATGTTTTCCTCGGCCCGTGTAATGTTACAAAGTATCATGCAAGCAGCGTCAGCATGGTTTTTTTGGGGATCTAGTACATAACCTACAAATATGTCTAAGACGCTTTTCTTCGTGTCCGGTTTAAGTTGTAATAATTGTGTAGCACCTTTCTCGTAAGCAGTGATATTAATGAGAAGTAGAAGAGCATTTTTGGCAATTTCGTCCACTCTATCATCTGTACAGTCGATAATAGATTTTAGCAAACTATCATTCTTTAAAATAACTTGTACACCTTCTTCAGTTCCTGACACACCGATTAAATGTTCTAAGGAGATGTGCTTTAAATCTATCCTGCATTCTGGTTTTAAAAATTCCAATAATTCGTTTAATGGATCTTTGGCCATGATTTTGTTTTATTTATAATAAACCATGTGGAAAAGTTCACAGTGCACAGGAATGTTTATATATTATTACATTTACCAACTGAACTCTGAAGTCTGAACTGTCCATAGATAAATAAATATGTAGCAAGGAACTGTCATGTCACCAGTCACTTTGACAGTTTTTTTTTAATTTTTAAGCAAAGACACGTAGACAGAGAATCCTAGCATTCTCTGTCTACGCAAAGACAACTGCACTCAATATGTTGCAAAGATATTCGGCAATACAGTCTTGTTTGATGTGTATGTTATCTAAAACATTCTTCATAATATGCTGATGCGTCACATTGCGAAGTATCTCAAGTCAAAAAAAGAAGATAAAAAATTAATAATAATATAAAAGTTCTAATAAATATAAGCAAAAATAGCATGTGTATATTATTACGTATAGATATTATGCACGTATGTATCTTTTTTATATTGAATAAGGGTAACAAACGGGCACACAGTTCATCTGATGGTAGGTGGAAGCTGTGACCAATAGACACCTACATTTATCCTTAATTAAGAATTAAAATACAGATGCGTTGTCACCCCGAGGACTGAGATGAAATGCCTCGTTTCCAATAAAAAGGGTCTCCGGTTTTCTACACTTAACATACGAACCACAGCAGCATGCAGCTGCTATTTTACACTGGTATTCTGTGAGAGCTTGGTACTACCCGGTCAAGTCGTCATAAGTCGCTCCTTACACATCAGTGCGCCGATATCAGCGAGTTGCATCGGCGACAATAAATCGCTATCGTGTCGATATGACCAAACATGGTTCGGGTTTTGTCATGTAGGGTCACAAATTATAATCTTGTTTCCGATAAGTGATTGTAAATTTTAAGTCCTATATAGTCGAATAAAGGACTTTATCAATAAGGAATGTCCACTAAAAGAAATTAATAAAACACATGGCAAGTGAGAAACACGTTTATTTAAATTTTTAAACAAAATTCCATTACCCCAATCATTATTCTAGTTTGAAAGGTTATTAATACGTATAAAGAAGCATACCGTATTGCTTTAACATTAGGTTAGAATATATAAGCGTGCAGTAAAATTTTAAATTGTTACATACTTATTATACATTAAATAATAATTTGCCATGCATGTATTAAAAATGGGGTGAGGCCGACGAGACCAGATAAAGAATGTAAACATTAGAGTTACAAAGCTAAAATTACGAGTGATCAGTTTGTCTGTCTTTTTCCTTCTTATGCAGTTACGATAGTTGCGGCGGTTTTCGCTAAATAATTTATAGGTTTGGTGCTGGAGTAACCTTGCTCAAAATGTTATTCGTTGTTTATTTTAGTTTTCTTCTTCATAATAATGTATCAATGTTAGTATTTTTTGTTGTTGATTTGTGGTATTTCGATTGTCTGATTAAGCCACAGAAAAGACTAGTTTAAAAAAAAAGAAACATACGCTCATTATATTCAACATAGGTAGAGTTAAAGTTTAGTCATCTTATTAGACTCATCAAAAAAAATTATGTGTCATCTGAAAATTGTTTAAATTTTTCACTCGTCTCGCTGGCCTTATAATAGAATGTCTATAATATTTCTGTAATTTTAAATTTCATACAGATGGATGCGGTAGTTGTCAGTGACCTAAATGCTTAATTCTGGTGGAACACACCTATCTAAATCTAAGTAATAAAATTATTATGATTTATCGAACAAGGTGTTTTCGTTATAGTAACAAGTATTAATTTGAAAATTTGTTAAATGGCCAATTCGAATAGAGAGGGACACTAATTTTAATTTTTGTATTTTATTTTATAAATATTATTGAATGTTGGCAAAAATATTGTTATTATAACTTTAGTCAGAAAATTGTGTTTTAAAACAAAATTAAAGATATACAGTTTCTTACGTCATAAGTTTATATAAAATTTATTATCTATACAAAACATTTGTGTCCAAAAACAGCTACGTTAACACATCTATATCTTTATGTTAAATATAACATCATATTAATATGACTAAATTGACTTGATTAACTTTATATATGACATTACGAGTATATAAATTACGAAAAGTGACTTTTTTAACTTTTAAAAGACGTGACTTTCTTGTGGTGTGATTTTTTATTTATATACATTTGATATAATATTAATATAATATAGGCCTAGGTCAGTTAGTATTTATAAAATAAAGGAAGAAATCCTGCGAAATTTGTAATTAGATTAATATTGTTATTTTTTTATATATTGGTTGTATGTTGTTTTTATTTTTACTAAAAATTTTTTAATTTAATTTTCAAACAAATTGAAAAATAAAATCTTTATTTGGGATCTGTTCCACTAAAATACCTCTACACTCTATATACTAAAAGTAATATTATCTTCACGGATAACACTTAAAAAATTAAAATAATGTGAATCTACTAAAATCCGCATGTGCAACTGTTTCTTTCATAGATTTAGGGTAGTTTATGGTTTGGCTGGCTAGTTTTACAAAACTGTCGCGAGTATTTTTTCACCTTTTAAAGTCTATCCGTAAGTAGTTACGATATGGACGCAATCTGTTCATAGAGGCACAATATCTTAACTCGAAGTAGTATCTATTAACAATGTCTACACACAAAGTGTATCTATTTTTAAATAGTATAAAATGCACAAAAAGTCAAATCTATAATTTCTTTAACTTACGGATTTTTAAGTACATATATTGCTACGAATACTATAAAACTAGATCGAACTAAATCTATTGCAAAGAATAATATTTAAAAAAAAATAGCAAGTTTAGTTATTACTTATTCTACCCTACAGATAAAACATTTTTTTATTTTATAATTTTTAATTTTTTTTATGAAAAAGCATAGATATTTGACTTTTAGGCTTCATCGCATTAGCAAAACAGAAACATAACATTATTCCTAATATTAAATTTATTACATTTTTATTTTATTTTGCAAGATATTATCATAAAATGATATTATTTTTCAGGTACAAAAATAGAAGTTTAAACTTTTATGAATGGTTCAAAATTTATAATAATTAAGATATTTGCACTGAAAAACAAAATTATTTTATTTCGTATAAAATATTTTTTACTTGATTTCTACTTAATAAAAGCTTTTCGTCGGTCTTCGCATTGTACATGTAGATTAAAAATATTATATTCTTGAGTAGTTTTAAAACATTTAAAGTAATTAACAAAATTTAAAATCGTTTGCTAATTTTGGTGATTTGATTAGTATATCAATATTTTCCTTAGGCTTGTGACGATGACAATGGCTACGATGGATGTTTTGAGAATGTCAGCATCTGTAAAAAGGAGAAAAGCGTTAACAAAGATTATAAATTAAATATATTCTACTTCATCAACAGCCCAAAACATCAACGCACAAAATATCAACGCAAAATAGCAGCATAATGCTGCTGTATTTCTGGTGAGTGACAAGAACCGACCCTTTTTCCATCTTGATCCTCAGGGCAATGTAAGGACATTTTGATTTTTAACGGAAGTAGTCAAAGTCGTCTATGAACTACAGGATCCACTTGTTATCATGTAGACTGTGCTTGAAGCCTATCACTTATATAAAAATGGGATGATGGATAATCGTAGTACCATATTATTCCATCTTTGAAGCTGCTACCCATATCTTTTACGCCGGATATACAGTAACAATTATAGCACCATAAACGGAAACTACATGATCTTTCTGGAATTTCCCGAAGTCACCGCTCGTCACGTAGTCACGACGTAAGTCAATTGTCCCATCTTCATCCTAAGGACGAAGATTCCTCTGGTGTTGCAGTTATTCATGGTTACTAACCATCCGGTGAGCCGCAGGTTACTTCCTCTCCTATATTTGAAAAAAAAAATTGACCCGATTGTGGGTTTGATCCTTTTTTATAACCGTCCAATTTAATAATAATATAAATGAACGTAGCTGTTTATGTAAAACGCTTTTATTATACAAAAGAAAACCCTAATGTAGGGTATATACAGTAAGCCGTTGTAAGAGATGTCCAGCATGTTCTAGCCTTTTTCTATATAGCATAAGGGTGACAAATGAGCACACAATCCACCTGATGGTAAGTGTATTCTGTGTCCTATAGATATCTACATCTATCCACGGTTAAGAATCAAAATGCAGATGCGTTGTCAATCCTGAGGACTAAGATGTAATGCCTTTTTCATTTAAAGGGTCTTCGGTTTTCTACACTCACCATACGAAACATATCAGCATTAAGTAACTATTTTAAACCATTATTGTGTTAGAGCGTGGTCCGTCCTCGGTTGAGCCAGCCCATTCATGTTACAACAATTATATATCTGAATCATGGCTCTATCTCGTATAGAAGACTTACTTTAAAGACTCCAGCTGTCGGACTAGAACATACGTACCACTACAGGTAAATTCGCGCTCCCTGTATCCACTCTCAGCGTCGCAGAGACAGATTTTATCCTGGGGAGACAGCACGCGGAGGTGAGATGGAGCGTTGCTCGTGATGTTTGGAGATCCGCAGATCAGTCCGTCGTTGCACTCGTCGCTGTTGGAGCAAACGTGGTAGAGGACTGGAAAATAAAGAATTTATTGAAAGTATGAAACAAAATCTCTTTGATGTTTTTTTCGAATTAAGACTTATTGTAGTAGTAGTAGTACTTTAGTAGCACTATGCTCGAAGTTGTTGACGAGTACGTTTACCTGGGACAAATAGTCCAACTAGGTAAGTCCAACTTCGACCGAGAGGTCAATCGACGGATTCAACTCGGCTGGGCAGCGTTCGAGAAATTACGACATATCTTCTCGTCAGGTATACCTCTATCTCTGAAAACTAGATTGTACAACCAGTGCGTGTTGTCGGTGATGACTTACGGATCTGAGACGTGGTCCTTCACTGCTGGCCGTATGGGGACGCTCAAGGTCGCTCAGCGAGCTATGGAGAGGGCTGTGCTCGGAGTTTCTCTGCGTGATCGACTCAGAAATGAGGATATCCGCAGTAAAACCAGAGTGACCGACATAGCCCAACGGATTAGTGAGTTGAAGTGGCAATGGGCCGACCATATAGCTCGAAGAATCGATAACCGATGGGGAAGAAAGGTTCTCGAGTGGCAGCTTCGTACCGGTAGGCGTAGTGTAGGGCAACCCCCCACTAGATGGAGTGACGACCTGGTAAAATACGCAGGAAGTCGATGGATGCAGGTGGCTCAGGACCGTGCTTTGTGGCATTACTTGGGGGAGGCCTATGTTCAGCAGTGGACTTGTGAAGAGCTGTAATGATGATGATGATGTAGTAGTAGTACGATTGAAAACGTTACCTCAGTCCCCGAAATCGTCGAGTAAAAATTACTAGAATGGGAAAATTTTAGAAGGATAGAATTTTAGAAGGAAGACCCGCAGGATTTCTTTCTGGTTCTTCCTGGTACCGAGGCGTTTTCAGAACTAATGTTCAATGTAAGAAATTTTAATTTACAAGAATCATTTATAATTTATATTAAATAAAAAATTATCTGTTCTATTTTATTTTACACAACATACGTTCAACGGGCATTGGCGCCCATCATTGGGTCGGCGCGAGCACTTGCAACTGTTCGATTTTGTTTATTTATGAAATATGTTCTCAACATGACTTATTATTAATGAGCCTTTTATTTGATGCAACCGTTGTTCGGTTTCATTATGAAATCTCAGCAAGATACACGTTTAAATCACAATTTTGCGATCTTTATGATTTTTTTCGAACCAATTATTATGATCTGTGCAGTTCACAGGCGATAGAAGTGAAACCAGAAAAAGACACCGAGATAATAGGAAACACTGTATACTGTATTCTATCTCATTCCCTCACAGATTAAATCATATAGACGTTTATATTTATTTCTTTTTAGTGTCGCTTTTTCGTTTTATCGAGTTTCAAATCAATACGATTCTAAAGAAGTTTTCACTTTAAAAAGTTATAAACCACAATGCCACGTCCTACCTTAAAAATTAGCCACCTTATTCATAAACATTTTAAATGATTGGTTACATAGTGTTGTGTCACTTTCTAGCAACAAGTGCCTAGCAAATGCCAGAAAGAGACAAACCCCTATTTAACTAATAAAGTAACTTCACAAATATGTTATTTCCTACTTTAACATTGTTATTTTTTCTCTCTTGCAAGCGAAACATTTATAATTTCGTTCTGTCCGTCTGTCCCGATTTCATCAATTTTATTCATAGGTACAATCTGATAGAGATAGAGATAGATCTGATCTGATAGAGATAGACAACTGCAGCTTGAACTGCAGTTGTCTATCTCTCTCGTTCAGGCACGGCACGACAGCAATTACGTTTAAAAACCTATTATTTAAGAAATATATAATGAAAAACCAGGAACCGAATAGATAATTAAAAATATTGTTACGAGCTTGAGGTTCGTGACAATAAAAATTGCCGATAAAATTACCTAAATTAACACTTTAATTTACTTTAAACAAATTAAATCTTAAAACACTAATAATTAAACACACTAATTCACTTAATTTCGCTCCGAAGCTTCGCTCGTATCGCCAATTCAATACTACTACGATCGCATCTTGCAGCGCCTACTTATATAAATTAGCAAAATATCCAGAATGTTCAAGTAAACACGCGCAAGGTACCGAGAATTCGAGTTTTAAACTTCAAGAAGTTTAGTTCTTCGGTTCGAGACTAGATGGCGCTAGTGCGCCGATTTGAGGCATTGGAGCGCGTAACACTGCCCCCTCCTAAGACATGCTCGTCCCGAGCATTATTGGTCCCATAATAACGCGCTAGGCGATCCACATGGACGATCTTAGGAGTCCCTCTTACGCCTTTCTGTATCCGGTAGGTTACATCGTTGATCCTGGTCACAATCCGGTACGGGCCGTCCCATTTAGCCTGAAGCTTAGGAGATTTCCCTTTGCTGCGGACTGGATTGTGCAACCACACAAGTGAACCTTCGTCGAACCCTTTGTTGTTCATTTTGCGGTCATACCGGGTTTTCATCTTTTCAGACATTTGCTGGCCCGATTGTCTGACGTGCTCATAAACGTCATTCATTTTGTTCCGCAAGTCATTTGCATAATCGGTTATACTGCGTGGAGCATCAGGTGGTATCCCGGTGATCAGGTCTGCAGGCAGCCGTAATTCTCTTCCAAAGTTTGCGAAAGCTGGTGTCACTGCTGTACTTTCGTGAACAGCGCTTCGATATGACAACAAAAACGGTTGTATGTGCTTGTCCCAATCTCGTTGCCGATTGTCTACAACTTTTGCTAGGTACCTCTCCAATGTCTGATTAAATCGTTCTACCATTCCATCAGATTGCGGGTGATAAGAAGTCGTTCTTGTTTTATGAGTACCCATAACTCGGCAAGTTTCCTGGAATATTTGAGACTCAAAATTCCTTCCTTGATCGCTGTGAATCTCTAAAGGTACACGAAAACGACAGAAGACTTCATGAACTAGCTTATCAGCAACTGTTGAAGCTTCTTGATTTGGAATGGCGAAGACTTCTGGCCACTTAGTGAAGTAATCCATCACAACCATGAAATACCTGTTACCGCTTTCACTCTCCGGAAACGGCCCCGCCACGTCAATGGCTATTCTCTCCCATGGTGCACCAACATTGTACAACTTCAATGCACCTCTACTACGAGTCTGAGGTCCCTTTACAGCCGCACAACTTGTACATTTGCGACACCAGTCCTCGACATCGTTTCGACAGTGGACCCAGTAAAACCGTTCTCGGATCTTCAGTAGAGTTCGTTTAACTCCCAGATGGCCTCCTGAATAATCATTATGGTACAGCTGTAGAACATCCGGTACTTTAGCTTTAGGGACAACCATTTGTAAATGACAGCTGTCTCCCCCGAACATTTTCCCATTTACGGCACAGAACTCCATCCTGAAGCAGCAAGCTGTCCCACTGGGCCCAATAGCTTTTAGTGGTCGAACTAATCGCTGAGACGTCGCTCCGCTTGGGCTTGGGAGCACTGGCCTTCATCAATTCCACGATCGGCTTGATGTCCGGATCTTCCTGCTGTGCACGTTGTAAGCTGTCCTTCCACTCGTTGCTGAGGTGGTCTGCCCTGAGCATCCTCACGGATACCACTTCCTTACTCTCTTGCCTAGTACAATGTTTGCAACCTTCAGGACAAGGTCTTCTTGACAATGCATCTGCGTTGCCATGAGATTTCCCGTTGCGATGTTCGATCTCGAAGTCGTATTCCTGCAGTAGTTCAATCCACCTCGCAACTTGTCCTTCTGGATTTTTAAACTGCAATAGCCATTTTAGTGCAGCATGGTCAGTTCGTAAGTGAAATTTTCGCCCCAGAAGATATTTGCTAAAATGCTGCAACGACTTTACCACAGCTAGCAATTCGCGTCTTGTGACACAGTAGTTCCTTTCCGGTTTTGACAACGACTTGCTGAAGTACGCTATCACGACCTCTTGGTCACCATTCCGTTGAGACAACACACCGGCAAGTCCTATATCACTTGCGTCTGTGTCAACTATAAATTCTTTGCTGGCATCAGGGTATCCCAAAATAGGTGTTTTGCACAGACGGTCCTTGAGCTCCTGGAATGCGATATTGCAACTTTCATCCCAGCAGAAATGTCGCTTCTCCTCGGTTAGCTTGTGCAGAGGTTTGGCTATATCTGCAAAGTTCTTCACAAATCGCCGGTAATAGGAGCACAAACCCAAAAATGCTCTAACCTGCGTCTTGTCTTTTGGAACCGGCCAATCCTTGACAGCGGCGATTTTCTCTGGATCTGTGCGGATACCTTCTTCCGATACTACAAACCCCAAAAAGTTAACTTGCCGTTGGAATAGTGAACTTTTCTTCGGGCTCAACTTGAGGTTGGCACTCTGAATCTTCATGAGCACGCGTTCCAGGTTTTGAAGGTGTTCCTCAAACGTACGGCCTATGATGATGATGTCATCCAAGTAGACCAGACAGGCATCGCCAATTAGCCCGGTAAGTACAAGTTCCATCAGCCTTTCAAACGTTGCTGGAGCATTGCACAACCCAAACGGCATTACTTTAAATTGCCACAGACCCTTTCCCGGCGAAAACGCAGTTTTCTCCTTGTCCTTAGGGTCAATTTCAACTTGCCAGTAGCCAATTTTTAGATCCAGCGTGCTAAACCACTTTACTCCTGTAAGCATGTCCAGCGTGTCATCAATTCTTGGCAAGGGATAGCTGTCCTTCCTCGTAACGTCGTTCAGACGGCGGTAGTCAACACAAAACCGCATGCTGCCATCCTTCTTCTTCACCAGCACCACTGGTGAACACCATGGACTAGATGAAGGTTCAATAACACCATCCTTCACCATTCCCTCAATCATGGTTTCCACTTCCTTTTCACGTGCTACCGGCAATCGTCTTGGCCGCTGACGGATAGGCAATTCTTCTCCTGTATTTATTTTGTGTTGAACTAAGCCAGTCTTTCCTATGTCAGCATCGTTTGATGAGAATACATCGACGTACTTGAGTAACAACTTCTTCGCCTTGACCAATTCGTTCGGGGAGAGAACACTGCGACAGTCTTCCAAAAGTGTGGTCAC